TACATTGTAGTTCAGACATTCAGGCACCATTGGTCAAACACTAAAACTGGAGTCACAAATCTTCAGACTATAATATGATTGTATAAGTCTTGGCAATAGCAGCAACATAACTTATCCTTGGGAGAACCCAAAATGAATAGTCTACAACAAATGTTCAATAGTCTCAAATTTACAATAGATGCTTCCATACAAACATTAGGCCTCTGTACTCACCATGTAGTGCGACCTCAGCCAGTGGTACATCACTGTCCTTACAGTCATCAATCAGGCACAGACAGGCACAGTTAGCTGTCACCTGTATCAAAGATTTAACATCTTCATTAAGCATTTCTTTTTTTAAGCATCTATCATTGTGAATCTGTCTAATTTTCCCACTGGCTTCCATCAGGCAGAAAATGGAAGACACAGTTTGGTGAAAGCTCCCAGTCAGTGTTCCCAATGAGCCTAGCATGTGGAAATTACTACAGAAACACAAGCAAACAAACAAACAGACAAACACTCTGTACACATAGGAAATGCTCTTTAGAACCCAAGTCTCACCATGATTCCAGACAGCCTCATGCCGCCCTCCTGTCCCCCCTGTCTGTCCCCCGACACTCTGCGTCTCTTCTGAGGAACAGGTTCTGCGTTCTCCAGCAGCCAGGCTGCAGCCACGTTCAGCCGGTTCTCACTCTGCTGCAGCGCCTGTCTGCAGTCCTCCGCAGCAAACCCCAGCTCCTGCAGCTTCTGTACCATGTCAACTGTCAAAAATAAGGAAACATGGCTACTGACGATTGATCATCATGAAGAATTTATATCTATCATGACTTTAAACATTGGAAACCTGAACTACACAACATTCTATAAACCTAAAGGATGATGATAAACTTTTTCTCCTCCATTTTGCAATTCTTTTTAAAAAGTTTTCCCCAATTTGTGTTACTTCTCTACAAACATAGAAAAAATATTTTAAAAACCTCTATACTGATATTGCTGCACATTCCGGCCATGCATTATCATACATACATTTTATCATAAAAGCTAATATTGAACATCAAATATTGACCCACTTTCTTCCATTGGCCCCCTAACTTGTTTGCTGTTCCTTCCTCCATCGCCCCTCCCCCTGGAAACAGCCGGCACAGCCCCGCCCTTCTGCTGTTGTTCTGGCGGTGCTCCGTTGTGATTGGCTGTTGCGGAGGTCTGCTTGGGGAGGGAGTTAAGGATGGCGAGGAACAGCCGGATATCGTGATAGGAGACTCGGATGTTCAGGGTGTGAAATACCACC